AGATACCTTGTAAATCGTGTGTCAGTATAATATAAAATTCTATAATTTCAGACAATGCGATGAGAGTGGAACAGTCATATCTCTAGTATGTTCAGAGACAATATGGAAAACGACAAACTATTGTAAGAAGGTTGAAATTGTAAAACAAAAGGAAGGGGTACATGAGAATGGGAAAAAATAAAATAGAGGGAGAAATGAAAGAGGAAAGAAAAGAAGTAAGAAAGGAAGGAAACCAGTTAAGAAGGAGAAAGAGATTGAATAATTTGAGAGTAAGAATCAGGTAATGATTCAGTATCGTTCATTTTATTTAGCCCTTGTTTCTGTCTTTTAATGTGAATCATTTCAGATACTATAATCTCTTATTATAAGAAGACTCGCAATCTAAAATTCTCACATCATCCCATTTAAAATTGTGGTCTAAATTGATACGATGATCGGTTATGACAGTAGGAGAACCAGTATTCCTTCTAATATTCGATTTATGTTCATGTAATTTCGTACTCAATTTTCTTTTGGTTTGATCAACGTAGCTCGCCTCACAATCATCGCAGGAAATTTTATATACAACGTTTTGGTTGGACAACAATTCCAACTTGTCTTTCCCTAACAATATAAATGATGCTTTGAATACTTTTAACTCTTTACGAGATTACAATTTACCTTGGAGGTTGGTTCGGAAGACAGATTAAGTTTTTTAGACACAACACTTATCATAGATAATCGTAGAATTATATTCGACATTTTTCACAAAAAGACATTCTCTGGAAGGTTCCTTAATTTTTATTCCAATCATCCTCTTTGCCACAAAAAAGGCACAGAAAAGGCGTTTCAAGACCGGAAATTTTTCGGCGCGCGTTTCTGTGGTACTACATACGTAGTATATAAATTCACATAAGAATCATACAAGCATTAAGATCCAGCTAGACCGTGTAAGGCTTTGATTTTCTATAGTTTGTGTCATCACATGTACGGTCCTATATTATATTATCTAAAAAAAAGTTTTTTTTTTCATAATTTTTCTTTTAATTTTTTTTTTTGCAAATCCATTATTTTCTTGAGAGTTCTGTTTGCCCCCCAAAAAGTTCTATCGATTGTTCTATATGGATGAAAGTTCTAAAATGAATGGTAAAGAAGTTATAGC